TCGAGGCTAGCCTGGTCTATAGAGTGAGTTCCAGGACAGCCAGGGCTACACAGAGAAACCCTGTCTCGAAAAACAAAACAAAACAAAACAAAACAAAACAAAACAAAAAAAGATCCATCTATACTACTTTGGAGCATATACATATTATAGGCTTCATCCCACTGCAGAGACACACTTGCTCAACTACGTTCAATACTTCTCTATTCATAACAACCAGAATGTGGAAACAGTGGATGGATAAAGAAATGTGGTATATTTGCACAATGAAATATTACTCTGCTATTAAAAAATGAAATAATAAGCTGGGTAGTGGTGGTGTATGCCTCTAATCCCAGCGCTTGGTAGGCAGAGGCAGGCATATCTCTGTGAGTTCAAGGGTAGCCTAGTCTATGTAGTGAGTTTGAGGACATACTATGCCAGAGCTACATAGTGAGATCCTGTCTCAAACAAAATCAAAAACAAAACAAAAACAAAAACAAAAAACAAAAATCCTGAGATTTGCAGGTAAATGGTTAGAACTGGAAAAATACTGTCCCGAGTGAGATAGCCCATATCCAGAATGACAGATAAGGTTCTTACCTCTTATTCTCTTATAAGTGGATATTAGCTGTTAAATCAATGATAACCAAGCTATAATTCACAGAACCACAGATGTTGTGGCCCTACAAACAGGACACTGTAAAAACTGAGAGTGAGGAGCTAATGGGTTAGGTATCATTTAGTTGTTTGTTTGTTTTTGAAATGAGGGTCTCACTTTCTTTTTTTTTTTTTGGTTTTTTGAGACAGGGTTTCTCTGTGTAGCCCTGGCTGTCCTGGAACTCACTCTGTAGACCAGGCTAGCCTCGAACTCTCGAACTCAGAAATCCGCCTGCCTCTGCCTCCCAAGTGCTGGTATTAAAGGCGTGCGCCACCACCAGCCTGGACTGGGGTCTCACTTTCTAGTCTTCATTGTCCTGGAATTCACTGTGTAGATGAGGCTGGACTTGAACTCAGAGCACCTTGGAGTGCTGGGATTGAAGGCACCACCATGGCTGCTTTTTGTTTTTGACACAAAGTCTTGGTATGGAGCCCAGACTGGCCTCTAAATCATGATCAGTACGCTTCACCACACACGAATATCTACATTATGATTTAATATTTGTTTGGTTGATTGGCTTAAATCAATAGCTCATTTAAATTCTTATTTGATTTTGAGTGAGGTTGAATGTTGCTTTTTTTTTCTTTTATTTTTTGAGTTGATCTCTGTCTTTCCTTTTCTCACAGGAAGACATGTTCTTCCTTCCTTCCTTCCTTCCTTCCTTCCTTCCTTCCTTCCTTCCCTCCTTCTTCCTTCCTTTCTTTCTTCTGCTGATGATGACTACGACGACGACAACAACAACAACAACAACAACAACGATGATGTGCACCATGTGTGTACCTGTGAAGGCTAGAAGAGGATATTGGGTCCCCAGTAACTTTAATTGCAAGTGATTGTAAGTCACCATGTAGGTTCTGGGAACTGAACCTGAGTCCTCTGGAAGAGTAATCAGTGCTCTTAACCACTGAACCAGCTCTCCAGCCCCTTTTCTTTCGTTTGTCTCTTACAACAGCTTTGGACAAAGAGATCATATAGGGTTCTTGAGCTGCTGATCATATATAATGAGAAGAAGGATGTATTTATAGCTTCTTTTAAACTTTTAGTTTTCTGTGAGAAGGGGGCTCATGTATAGCATAGTTTGCTTGTGGAAGTAAGAGAACAACTTAAGGGAACTGGTCCTCTCCTTCCCCCGTGTGGCTCCCAAGGATCAAACTCAGGTTGTAGGAGTTGGTGACAAGTAATTTTAACCACTGAGTCATCTCCCTGGCCTTTATTTGTAGTTTTGCAAGTGAAAGTTTGCATTATATGTCATATCCTCAGTTTTACTTTGGAAGTACGGGTTTCTGGTCATTTAGAAAAACTAACTGGACCTATAATGCAGCATTGGAACAATGGCATGTGAGAAGCCGTAGGTTTAGCTCCTAATAACACACACACACAGAGAGAGAGAGAGAGAGAGAGAGAGAGAGAGAGAGAGAGAGAGGGAGAGGGAGGAAAGGGAGAGGGAGAGGGGAGAGAGGCGGAGTTGGAGAGATGCTCAACAGTTAAGAACATTTGCTGCAAAATCACGAAGGTTTGGATCTCAGTACTCACATACTCACACAAGCAGGCTCAGCACCCCTCACCCAGGTTCCTAGGTTTGAACTCCCAGGGATCCCATGCCCTTTCTTTTCTGGCCTTGCTTGCACTACACATTATATCCCACACTCCCCCACCTTAATTTTTTTTTTTCTTCAAGTCAGGGTTTCTCTGTGTAACAGAGTCCAGGTTGTCCTGGATTGCTTTATAGACCAGGCTGGCCTTGAACACACAGAGATCTGCCTGCCTCTGCCTCCCAGATGCTGTTATAGGTGTGCACTATCATGCCTGGCCTGAAAAATAAATATTTTATAAAAAGAAAAAAAAAAAGAAAAACTCTATGGTTTTAGGCTTAGCAGAACGACATAATTTTTCTTAAGAAAGTTCTGGGTGGTGGGCATCTGTGTGTCTCTAAGAGTCAGCTCAGGACCAATCATATTGCGAGCTGAACAACTAAAACTTGTCGCCTCAGTCAACTGAGGAAAGGTGGGAGTGAGAGAGGTGGCTTTCCCCAGGGAAGAGCACACTAACTGGGTGTGTAGTGTCAAATGTTCAGTCCTGAAAACATACATACAAGTAACATTATACAGACTGAGCAGATTGTATTCATAATATATATATATGTATATATATATATGTATATGTATAAATACACATAGGCTTGCAGTAACAGTGAGAAAAAGAGACCATGAACTTGAAGAAGGGTGTGTTTGAGAGTTTGGAGGGAGAAAAAGGGAGAAATGTTAGTTACATTAATTTCAAACTGGCAGCAACTTCCTGCCCCTGTTCTGAAGAATAACCTTCTATAAGATGAACTTTTTTTTTAATTTTGTTTTGTTTTTCGAGACAGGGTTTCTCTGTGTAGGTAGCCCTGGCTGCCCTGGAACTGTATACCAGGCTGGCCTCGAACTCAGAAATCTGCCTGCCTCTGCCTCCCAAATGCTGGGATTAAAGGCATGCCCCCGGCCCCCAAGATGAACTGTTAGTAAAACAAACTAAAAGCACAGCACAATAAAGCATGACTCTTTGTTCTTGCCTGCCCATTTGCTTGATTGGTTTTTAGTATGGGTCTGAAAGAGACCCGACAGTGTCCAAGAAGAAACTTAGTACAAATCTGATTTAGAACTTTTGAAAAGCCGGGCTGTGGTGGTGCATGCCTTTAATCCCAGCACTTGGGAGGCAGAGGTAGACGGATTTCTGAGTTCGAGGCCAGCCTTGTCTACAGAGTGAGTTCCAGGACAGCCAGGGCTGCACAGAGAAACCCTGTCTCGAAAAACATTAAAAAAAAACAAAAAACAAAAAAAAAACAAACTTTCGAAAAGGCTACCTCTTGGTGCAGACCTATATAACCACCTAAGGACTCCTGGAGCTGAGACAGGAGGGTCATAAATTCAAGACAAGTTAGTGAGAATCTGTATCAAGGCATAAAAAGAGGAAGGGGTGGGAAGGGGTGGGGTGGGGAGGAAGAGGGGGGCAGGAGAGAGGAAGGAAGACCTATCTGTGATAGTGTTTGATAGTTCATGTGAGGCTCTGGGTTCAATACTCAGAATCCCAAAACCAAATCAAAACCCAAAACAAAAACAAAGCTTTAGCTTGTTCCTTTAATTCCAGAAGAAGTGAGGCAGAAGTGGGTGGATCTTTGTAAATTGGAGACCAGCCTGCTCTTAACTAGTTCTAGACCAGCTAGGGCTACATAGTGAAATCCTACCTCAAAAACACAAAACAAAACACTCCCAAGCAATCACTTTCTTGAGGGGCCTGAGGCTGAGTGAGAGGTCACAGCATTCATAGAACAGCAGAAGCACTTTTACCTCAGATGTGGCTTTGGGTAGGCCAGCAAGCCTCTCTTTCTGGAGGCAGCATTCTCAGGCCTTTCTACTATCTCTTATTTCTCTTTGACTTCAAGAAAAGGACTCTACTGATTCACACATTAGGAAGGCTCCAATAAAAAATTTGATCAGCCGGGCAGCGGTGGCATACTTTTAATCCCAGCACTTGGGAGGCAGAGGCAGGCGGATTTCTGAGTTCGAGGCCAGCCTGGTCTACAGAGTGAGTTCCAGGACAGCCAGGGCTACACAGAGAAACCCTGTCTCAAAAAACCAAAAAAAAAAAAAAAAAAAACCCCAAAAAAAAAAAAGGAAGGCTCCTTCTAGCTGTCTGTAAAGGAAGGATAAAAGGAAGGATAATCGGTTAGGACAAAATGTAATTTGGCAGTAGGGAGCTGGATAGGCTTGGCATTGGCAAATGGATGAGTGGGAAGGTATTTATGGGGTGGGAATGACAGTATTAAAGTGTGTGGAAATTGGTAAGGGAAATGTCAAATTGACCCTAGTGTTTGGACTTGGGTCTCCTTGAGCCGGCGGAGCCATTACTGGTTTAGGAAGAAGAGCAGGTTTGGCTGGAAAATAAGGTCAGGGCAAGTAGAACCTGAAGTCGTCCTTAAGTTCTTTAAAGTGGGTGTCCAAAAGATTGATATTAAGGGCGTGGCACTTTGGAGAGAGACCTGGAGGGAACAGAACAAAACCCGGGAGGAATCTATGTAGGAATGAACTGTAATGAACTGGAGAGATTCTGAGCTTGCAGGGTGTGGTGATAAGGCAAGCTTGAGGAAGAGTCCCACGTGACGACCTGGTGGCGCCGCGGGTGTACAAAAGGTACCGTAACCCCATGGGGTAGAGTGCAGGGTGGCCCCTCCCAGCCCCGCCCCTCTGCCTTCCTTTTGCCCTCTTCATCTATTGGGTAATCTCGATGTCCGTCAAGGGCCCGCCTCCGCAGATAAGCCAATCAGGAATGGCGGGAGGGAGCTTTCTTTTGGTGCTGGTTCCTCGACTGGGGGCCTCTCCAGGGAAGTAAAACCCAGTCGCAGCGACCGCGGAACTGTGCTCAGGACCTGAGCTGAGAGGATCCGCCGAGTGCCATCCGCGCCAGCTGGGGAGGAGAGAACGAGGATACGAGGTAAGGAAGCAGACGATTGGGGGTGCGAACGTCTTCCTCAGCCTGGTTTACGGGTGCCTCAGGTGATGGGGCGGAGAGGGAGAGGGGATGAGGTGAGAGGGCGGGACGAGCTGGTCCCCGGTCATGGTCACCCCACTCGCGCGCACGCGCCACGTGTGCCGGCGCACTGGTAGAGGAGTCGGCTGCTTAGCCGGTTCCCTGCACCGGCTTCCTTAGTACTGAAGCACCCGTGAACTGGACGTGGCAACTCGATTCCTGTCTTACACCTTGGAAAGCCGCGGCTCAGCCTCTAAACCGGAGCTGGGAGTACTTAGAGCCTTACGGTCCAGCTAAGAAATCAAGAGACTTGGTTTCTTTAGGGGTGCTGAATTCTGTTCCATTGGAGGCGAACGGTTTTCATTGCGCACGGCTGCCTGTCCTTTCTGCAGGGTTAAGAGGCGTCTGAGGCCACCTGCCCGGGACCGACCTCATCTGTCCCAAGTTCAGCGGGATGGGTACTGGCTTTGGGAAATCAGTTTGACAGTGCGATTATACCCTTTGACCTACTGATTTTGGAAATAAGTAAGGGAAAGGTGGCTGCAAATGCCATGTAATTTGGTACCAGGAAACAAACTCCAAGTCTCTAGTAATTGTGAATGTTTATGCCAAAATCCATAAATGGTGCTATCACTGAAAACATTGTCTTTAATACAAAGCCATAGTCAAAGTAGTGGCACCAGTGATATAAAAATCTGTACAGAGTGTACCCCAAGGACAAAAGTAGTGACTCCTTATTTTTATTTTTATTTTTTTGAGACAGGGTTCTCTTTGTACCTTGCCTCAAATTCTGCCACCCTTTCCCTCCCAAATGCTGGGATTAAAGAAGTACACCCACATTCCCAGTTCCTATCCCCCTCCCCAATTCCCACGGCCTCACTTTGTTACAAAGGCTGGCCCAGAATAATACACAAAGTAACTGTCTGCTATGTAGATCAGGCTGGCCTTGAACTCACAGACATCAGCTTGCCTCTTCATCTTTGCCTGGAGGGGTTTAGAAAGGAGAGAAAAAAGAGGCACACATTGGCTGGGAGGAAGGCCAGAAGCCCTTATTGGCTCTATAAAATTAGAGAGTGTATTAGCAAAAGGAATGTTTTAGCAGTTAGTATTTTTAATAATTTGAACTTTGAAGCTTTTGTAAACTCTTTAGCTGGGCAGTGGTGGCACACACCTTTAATCCCAGCACTTGGGAGGCAGAGGCAGGCGGATTACTGAGTTCGAGGCCAACCTGGTCTACAGAGTGAGTTCCAGGACAGCCAGGGCTACACAGAAAAACCCTGTCTCCAAAAAACAAAAACCAAACCAAAACAAATAAACTCTTTAATTTTCAGGCCGAAAACCACCCCACCTTCACTTGCCACTCTTGTTTCAGAATGTCAAGTCCTGTGTCCTACTGGCTCTTCAATTCTGCAAGGAGTTGCATTGTTCTATTACCAGGGAGTAGACGCTTATACTCAAGGGCTGCCACAAGTAGGAATCATCTGAAATGGAGGCTCTTTTCTCCGGCATCATCAGCCATAAAGGACAGTTCTCCCTGTGGTGGCTTTGCTCTGCGGAAAGTCTACAGACACACATCAACCGAGGAAGAGGATCTCCACTTACAGCTCAGCCCTGAGCAGGTCAGTGACATGCTCCGTGCTGGCGAGTCATCCCACAAGGTTCTTGATTTCAACCGTGGAGTTCCAAATTCAGTGTTAAAGTTTGAGAGCAACCAGTTGGCTGCCAATTCCCCAGTGGAGGACCGACAAGGTGTAGCTTCTTGCATGCAAACGAACGGGATGATGTTTGGGATTTTTGATGGACACGGTGGCCATGCGTGTGCACAGGCGGTGAGCGAGAGGCTTTTCTACTACATGGCGGTGTCCTTGATGTCCCATCAGACCTTGGAGCAGATGGAAGAAGCAATGGAAAACATGAAGCCTTTGCTACCTATCCTGCAGTGGCTCAAGCACCCTGGAGACAGTATTTATAAAGATGTCACATCAGTGCATCTGGACCACCTCCGTGTCTATTGGCAGGAGCTCCTTGACCTGCATATGGAAATGGGGCTAAGCACTGAAGAAGCACTGATGTACTCCTTCCAGAGACTGGATTCTGACATCTCTCTAGAAATCCAGGCTCCTCTGGAAGATGAGGTAACAAAGAACTTAGCCCTCCAGGTTGCTTTCTCTGGGGCAACAGCCTGCATGGCCCACATCAATGGAGTTCACCTGCACGTAGCAAATGCTGGTGACTGCCGGGCTATCCTTGGTGTCCAGGAAGACAATGGTGCATGGTCATGTTTACCTCTTACCTGTGACCACAATGCTTGGAATGAGGCTGAGCTGTCCCGGCTTAAGAGAGAACACCCTGAGTCTGAGGACAGGACACTCATCATAGATGATAGACTGTTGGGTGTACTCTTACCCTGCAGGGCCTTTGGGGATGTCCAGCTAAAATGGAGTAAAGAGTTGCAGCGTAACGTCCTAGAGAGGGGCTTTGATACCGAGGCCCTCAACATCTACCAGTTTACCCCACCACACTACTACACTCCACCCTACCTGACTGCCAAGCCTGAGGTTACGTCCCACAGGCTGAGGCCCCAAGATAAGTTCCTCGTGCTGGCCTCAGATGGCCTGTGGGACATGCTGAGCAATGAGGATGTGGTAAGGTTGGTGGTAGGGCACCTGTCCAAGGTTGGTCGCCATAAGCCGGACCTGGACCAAAGACCAGCCAACCTTGGCCTCATGCAGAGCCTGCTGCTGCAGAGGAAAGCCAGCGGGCTCCATGCCGCTGACCAAAATGCAGCCACGCATCTGATCAGACACGCCATCGGGAGCAATGAGTATGGGGAGATGGAGCCGGAGCGGCTGGCTGCCATGCTGACACTGCCAGAGGATGTGGCCAGGATGTACCGGGATGACATCACTGTCATGGTGGTGTTTTTTAACTCAGATTCAATTGATACCTATTATAAGGAGGGTTAAGAGTCTCACCTTGTTGCCAAGGCTAACATGGATCCCTTTAGAACATTTACACTCACTCCTTAGTGAACAATTCAAACCTTAGTAAAGAATAGGCAGGTGTAGGTTGCTGAGTAATTAACAAAAGAAGGGAGGGGAAAAAAAAGACATTAGGAGTGATTTTTGTCCTGTGTGTGCTGGTCAGCTCTTCTATGCAGCAGACAGAATAAAGACTAAAATTGGCTTACACTCACGTAGCCCATGTCCTTTATAAAAAAGAGTGTTAAATTGTGTCATCCTGTGCTTTTAAAGGATAAATTTAATCATGTGTCTAAGAATAAAGAACTTCGGGATCTTCTGAGACCCAGTTGCAAATTTTACAGATGTGATCATTATGAACTCTGTTATGGGCAACTTCTAGGCACTGGTGTTTTGCTTTTTAATTAGGGAAGCCTAGGTTTACAAAGCAATCTTCAGGGCACTTTTCTATGTTGTATTCTAACTTTGTGTGTGTGTGTGTTTCTGAAATGATTGATGATATTCTGTGCTGTTTGTGTTTTAATGCTGGTTAAGTTTATTTTAAAACTGAATCCTCAAGCTTGCAAGCAGGACCTCAGCTGAGGATGAGAGGAGGAGTTAGCCCTCTGGGCCAGCTGAATTTAATTGTGCAGCTATTGTTCCCTTCCATTGAGCCTCACCTCTGAACCTTTGAGCTGTCCGAGGAGGTGATTTCTGTCTAATCCCTAACTCCTGGGATTTTTGCATAGCAAACGGTTTTCCCCTCTAGGCTTAGCCACGGGTTATTCATAATTTTAGATTCCTTTTGATTATAGGCTTCAAACACTCTTGACTCCATGTGACAACCTTATCTCTGCCATTCTGCCTAGCCTCATCCTGACGTTACTCGTTCTATTGTCCAGAGGTTGGAAGGAAGAAGATGATGTGGTTGGAGGTAGTTGAGGACATTAGTCAGACAGAGTTTTTTCAGTGGTTTGTGGACTTGAGAGTTCAGCCTGGATCTAGAGAAGTGAAAGTAAGGTCCTAGGAGAACAGCCAGGAGCTGAGGCTTTCCCTCTGCATCTTGGAAGGGAGGAGGGAGACTTATCAGATGGGTCACCTGCTCCTGCCTGTGGAGTTGCCACTGCTAGGCCTCTGGAACAAGACCATATTTGGTGTGATAGATAGGTGAAAGTTAAAAAGCATCTGGTCATAGTCCTCATGGGTTGTTGGTGTTTGCTTAAACTAATCCGCACGAGTCTGTTTCAGAGGATAAATTTCCTCCTCTCTTGGGTGGCCTTGGCATTGAACTGCAGGAAGTGTGTCCCTAAATGGAAACACATATTTTTTTTGGCAGTTTTAATTTTCTGTCCTTTGTCAGTGCTTCACCGTAGGCAAGTCTCTTCAGCTGATCCTTTCTGTTGTTTATCCACACACTAGGCATGGCCCCTCGGCTTTGTGGGTAGACATTCCGTCATGATCAGACTGGGTTAGCAAAGTGGCTCAGTGGGTAAAGGCTGCCAGTCTCAAAACCCTGAGTTCGTTCCGGGGGGACCCATGTGATGAAAGGAGTTGAAAGTTGTCCTCTGACTTCCACGTGTGCACCATGGCACATGAACTCACACAAAATAAATAAAATGAAAAAAAAAATCAGAGCCAGGCAGTGGTAGTGCACACCTTTAATGCCAGCACTCAAGAGGCTAAGGCAGGTGGATCTCCGTGAGTTTGAGGCCAGCCTGGGCTACAGAGAGTTCCCGGACAGCCAAGACTATATAGAGAAACCCTGTCTTGACTCCCACACTCACCAAAAAAAGAATCAGGATTGCTTTCGTACATTTCCTAATGTACCTGTTTAGTGGTATGGTTTTATGTTTAAAAAAGAAAAAAAAAAAAGAAACAGAACTCTTTTGGGTCCTTTTGTTCTGAATCTGATCTCTTAGATTTCTACTCAAAAGTAAAATCTAAAAGTTCCCCTTGAGCCTGTGCCCACACTTGGGTGTGTTTACTTTCTGTGGCTCTTTTAGGAGAGGCCTACACTTATGCTCTCAGGTGTGGCTTACCTTCTGAGTGCCTCTTTCTCCTAATCCTCATGCTTACATCTATCCTAAATAATGACCCCAACTCTGCCACCTCAAAATAAAATAGAAAATGAAAAACTTGGGTGTGGCGGTGCCTGCCTTAATTCTAGCACTTGAGAGGCAGAGAGAAGATCAGAAGTTCAAGAAGATACATGAGACCCTTCTACTAAAATTAGTGTGTTCCAGCTAGGCACTAAGGCCGTACTAGGCTACACAGTGAGACCTTGCCTCAGGAAAAAAAAAAAAAACAAAACATAACCCCAAACATGAGACACTACTATTCTATATTTATGGCTTGTTATTTGAATGGAAGACACTATTTGACTTTTTTTTTTTCTCCCTTTGCTTTCTGTGCCAGCTAAACCCAGGATCATCCTTGGAGCCTTAACTGGCATTCAGTGTCTGAGGCCTATTATGGAGGATGGCATGGGTCATAAAAGGTTCTTATTCTGGTAACTTATCCTGGAGTTGATAGAACACAGACCTCCCAGCTGTATCTCCAAGCGAGTCTGTGTCTTCTCACTGTCTAATAGATGTCTCTGCTTTCCAGCTGAAATATTGAGAGAGAAGAGAGGGCAATTTATTGTCTACCTTTTTCTCTGCCTCTGAACTCAGCTTTTCTGTGCCTGTGCCAGTGAGTATATTGTCTTCTGGTTACACACCAGTGTCTATCTTGCTGGCTATGGCTCTTGGCAGCATCTCCCTTGAAGCGGACGAGCTTTTGCTTCGGGACACCGAAATTAGGAAGGAGATTCATGGTCCTTGTCAGTTATTCCAAAGTTCTTATCATTCCTTTTATATAGAGATTTCGATTTTTAAACTGTTAAAATTTAAATAGTGAGGTTGACCATTTAGAATTGCAGATGTAATTTTTAAAAGAAGTATGTCTTGGTGCTTAAAGTGACATTTATGATTTGGGGTCAGAAACAGATGGAAATGGTATAATTTAGATACTTGTTTTATGTGTAAGCAGTACAGTGCTATTGATTTCCAAAGTTAATAAAGCTGTAGAAGAGACGATAGTTTTGAATGTATATTAGATCATGTTAATAAGATTCAGTTTTCTGAGATGCTATTTGTAATGTTAAAGCTAATTTATTGTAATGTATACTTTGAGATGCTGTAATGTATGGTTGTCTTCCTCAGAAGTTCATTTGGCTTAATAAATGCTAAAAAGCTTTTAGGCACAAAACTTGATTGGGACACAATCAAGCTGACAACTTTTAAACAGATAAAATGCGGACGGCTTGACCTTCAGATAAAGAAGGGTATAATTATTTGGAACAGCAACATTCAAAAGGAGGCTGGTTCTGTCCTTTTGACTGTCAGTTTCTCTTCTTCGTTGGACAGCTGTAACCTTCCAGGTTAAACCAGAATATTCTGGAATGGAGCCACGCGGTGCCGAGTCTTTGAAGTGCCGCAGCTGCAGTAGAAGCACCCTGCTAGCTTTGGATTTGAGAATCAAAGCTAGTGACACATTTCATGCCCTAAAGGGTCATGTGTGTGGCCTGGTGGGGGAGGAGCCTGGTGGGGAAGGAGCCTGGCTGGGGAGGAGCCTGGTGGGGGAGGAGCCTGGTGGAGAAGGCATGTTCAGGCTACTGTGTAACTGTTTCTTGAGCCATCTGAGGTCCTGTGCTTTCTTCCTGTGGTTCCTGATGTCTAACTTGCCTCCTGGAAAATATTTCTTACTTAGCATTTTCTTGGAACAATCATTAACCATGTTCTTTAATAATTACTGGCATTTGTATTTTAAACTGTGTACCCATGTTCCTATCTGACACCGATTTTCTAACCTTTGAGGATATTTAAGTAGAACTTTTAAATAAAAGAGGCAAAATGAAATTTGGCTTCCTTTAGTTTGAACGTTCATTTTTTTCTAGCCCATAGGATGCCAGGCCAACTTTTGGGTTCAGCATTTTTATTAGACCAAGGAAGAGTTTGGGCTACTTAAGAGTCTGCTCCCAAGAGAAGCTTGGCGCACTAAAACTTATAGTTGCTGCTAAGCACATGAGGAGTTCTTGTTTATTTTTATTTACATTTAATATTTTATTTTTAACTAAGTGTATGCATGTGTCTCTACGTGGGTATGTCACGTGACTAAAGATGGAGGCAAGAAGGGGCATTGGCTCTCTTGGAGTAACTGGTAGTGTCCAATATGTCTTAGGAACCAAACTCAGGTCTTCTTCAGGAGCACACCCAACACTGAGCCATCTCTCCAGCCCCAGGAGTATTCATTTTTTTTAGCCATGTGAGCAGAGAACTGAGAAGAAAAAAGACTGAGGCCTACCATGCAATCTGGGCCAAGGCCTGCTGGGATTTCATCATTACTGCGAATCTACTTGTAAAAACAGTTTTTGTGTTAATAGTAGGATAAAGCCAGTCCCAGGGAAAAGTCTAGGCTGCTATCTCCATGGAACCCAAGATACCACTCCAAGATGGCACTGTGCCTCAATCCACCCAAAATGATGTTGTTCAGTGGGTCCTTATTAAAAATTGTAGGCGGAATGGCTGGAGAGATGGCTTTGGAGTCAAGAGCACAAGCGTACCACCATGCCTGGCAGTATTGGGGATCTGAACCCAGGTTCAATTCCTAGCACCCACATGATGGTTCACAATCATCCATAACAACAGTTCAAGGGGATCCTAGGCCCTCTTCTGACCTTGTGTACTGAGCACATACCATGTACATATATGCATCCAGGCAAAACACTCATACCTAATTTTTAATGCATACACAGAAAGAACTTTTAGGCTTTCCTCCTTCATTATTTTTGATAATAAAATAAAAAGTTCTGCTAACTCTTGATACTGCTTTGGCTATTAGGAGTCAGCCTACATAGCCTCAATGTACATACTCCAACATCCTACTATTCTTTTAGAACATAAAACTAGGGCACAGGCTGGAGAGAGCTCAGTCTGCACATGAAGACCTGGGCTAGATCCTGCACAAGTAAAACATGACAGCAAGCACTTTTAATCCCAGTGTTGGAAAGACAGACTGGCAAATCTTTGGGGCTCACTGGCTACCTAGCCTAGTGAGTTGAATTGGCAAGCTCCAGGTCAACCAGGAGACAACTTGTCTTAAAAAACAAGGTGTGTTACTTCTGAGGAATGACATCCGAGATTATCTCCTGGTCTTCACACAGATGCCCGAATATAAACATGCATCTGTGTAGCAGGATACTTATTCTGCTACATTGTATTCTCAGTGGAGCTTGGTGATTAGGCAGTAGAAGAAGAGGTGGAGCTGGGAGAGAAAGAGGAAGGGGAGGGGAGAAAAAAGGAA